CTTTTAACACTAACACTACTGGTTTGTCCAGATCAGTCTTTGTCTCTGAAGCATCATCCATAAAGTAGATTGATGTAGTGGGCTAACTCCTCTATTAAATTATGAATGACATCAAGAGACTAACATTGATTATATCAAAATGAAACACACAAAGTATATATAGCTATGCAAAGAAAATCTCATGCACGATGTCCCATACTGATTACAGAGACACACATCATCACTTCAGTTTCACACCAGTTGGAATGAAGAGCAAGGAGAACGGTTAAAAACACACAGCACCAACTTTTACATCCGTTCTACAACTCCAGTAGATCATAGTTTTACATTTGAAATCGTCGTCGTTGTCCAAGCTTGCTATACTTCATAGTCAGGTGACTTCAATGCCTTGGGAATGTTACTTTGAAACAAAAGGACTTTTAGGAAGCATTTAAGTGTCTGCTGGGAATGAGGGTCACAAAAACAAGAGAAAAATGGAGCTGTCTCTTCTCACCTGTAAAAAGAGCAGCTAAGAGAAGATTTGGGGAAATGAGAAAACCATGCAAAGGAGCGATGGGAACCCAAAGGAAAGAGCAGGCCCAATCACCTGGGCTATGCTGCTGTAGAGAGCGACATGCTGAATGTAGTATGAGAATTATCTTAACATTTCCCAGAGTCGTGTCTCAAACACTCTGGTTTCTCTTCCCTACGTCCGCCATCCATCTATGGTGTAAAAGTATCTATTTATGGGTAATGCTGGGCACAGATATCATCCATAAATCTGAAATCCCTTCCCTGTCATTGTCCTCAAAGTTCATTTAGTGAGAACCATGGTAGGAAACAGCCCTTACCAGATAATGGAGAGACCATAAGGAAGCAACTATAATAAACCAGGCTCACCCCTAAGATTACAGGGAAATTGTCAGCAAATAAGAATTACTAAAGCCCAGTTGAAGCTAAAACTGTAAAGAAGAGGAATTTTCAGAGAAAAAGAAAAACAACCTACACTGCAGAGAGCTACAGACAGCTACTGCAACAGACCCCTAGAACGAAGAGAGAAGGCAAGCAAAGCAAACTTCAATCTCTCTTTTCTCCATGTTCTCGTCTCTTTTCCTAATGTTTCCCACCAAGTGACCCAACACAGGAGCTAGGACTGGGTGATGCAGTCTGTAGCCATCAGCCTCCAGAACACAAAGCAACACAGCAGGAACACAGCTAAGAGTCAGAGGAGAACAACCAGCACAGAAGAGCACCCCATCCTATAACACACACATTATCTATGGACGGGGTACTCAGAAGTCCAGCAGTATCACAGAAAGGCCTGGACTGACGGCATAAGACCTGTGCTACACTTTTGATAGCTGTGCCAGAGGGTTCTGCAATCTCCTTAAGCCAGAGAAACATCAAACCTCCTCTTTATTGTTCTTTATTCCTTCCTTCCTTCTTTCCTTCCTTCCTTCCTTCCTTCCTTCCTTCCTTCCTTCCTTCCTTCCTTCCTTCCTTTCTTTCTTTCTTTCTTTCTTTCTTTCTTTCTTTCTTTCTTTCTTTCTTTCTTTCTGAGGCAGGGTCTCACGCCACTCAAACTGGTCTCAAACTCACCACTCCCCCCTAAGCCTTTAGAGTAGCTAGGACTTTAGGTTTGCATCACCATACCCATATCCGGTTGTTACATTCCTTCAATCAGCTGACATGTAGCAAGCTATCAATCAATACTTGTAGAACTAACACACAGATGATTTGAAAGAGTTCCTTCCTGTCATGAGCATTAGTCAGCAGCTTGGGTGGCCTGATCTGAGTTCTGGAATTCTGTGAACCTTTAGAAACACTAACGCCAGCTCGCAAGCAGTTGCTTAGGGTAGGGAAGACTGGCACTTTCTGTCACACACGGACTCTCCTGTGTTTGTGTCAACACAGGGCTCCTGATTCCCTAGAGACATAAGCTCTCTAAACTGCAATGAACTATTGGGAGGGGGGGTGTACGTTTGTTTATTTTAATATTTATTTATTTTTACATACTTGGTGTTTCGCCTGCATGTATGTCTATGTGGGGATATCAGATGCCCTGGAATTGGAGTTGCGGATAGTTATGTACTGCCATGTGGTTTGCCGGGAATTGAACTGGTGTCCTCTGGAAGAACAGCCAGCACTCTTAACCACTGAGCCATCTCTCCAGCCCCAGAACTTTGTTTTTAATCAATGAATATTTCCTACACCTAGTAAACAAGCTCAGAGCCATGGCTTTATCTTTTTTTGCATCTTTTGTTGCAGGTTATCCTTGTGCTGAGGAGGAAAAATATCTATTGACCTGAACAATGGACAGACTGGACTTTTCAACTCCCCTGAAACTCTCACTACAGTCTATTACAAGGTTCTTTGTTAGAAAAGAAGAAAAACAAAAGGGAAAGTAAAGATATAGCAGAAAAGAAGGGAGACAGCTCTCAGAGGGAAAGTGAGTCAGTCTTTCTGGAAAGGCTGGCATCCATGCACACACATCTGGGCAGCAGGTCAGCTGGTCCATCACCCTTCAAGTCTAGGTTACAAAGGACCTGTGGATTTGCCTCTGGCTTTTTCATAGTTTGCACTACAAGTTTAGGAAGCAAAGCCGACATTGTTATGCTTCAGCTTTGCATTTAGAAGCAAAGAGCACTTGGGTTACTTACGAGTGTGGCTTTTCTTCACCAAGAATATGGTTAGGAGTGGTAACAGGAGCATCATCAACTTCCACTGAAGTCTTTTTCTTTCCAGACTTTTTTTACCCCAGACAGTGACAGGCCTCTGATGAATCTTTTGAGAACCTGTACTCTCTCTGCCTGGCTTACTGGGAAATTTGGTAACTGAGCACTGCGGGGCGGGATGGGCGGGGCAGGGGGAAGCATTCTCCAATAAGAACTGGGAAAAGTATCAGTGTCATTGGTTGCTAGGTAGAATAGAGACCTACAAAATGAACGCAATAAAGATTAACCCCTTGTTGGTTTCAGACACCGCTTGCTCCTGTCAGCTTCTCTTCACCCAGTTCCCAACTGTAGCTCAATTACATGAAAAGTATAGGGCAGCAAAGATTAATAACACAGGTAATTTATTGCCTTTGGTTCTTTCTTGGAATTTAGATTTTTAACCAAGAAAATCACAAAGAAAATCACACCCTGGGTTCCAAGATTTGGAACTCCCTGCTCAGTGTGATTTTTCCATCCATCTATCTCAGATAGCATGTGCCATTTAGACTGTCCTGTAATTTTTTTACTTATGTCTCTTTCCTGTACTTTTTTTTTTTTTTACCTAGAACAATAGACCCCAAACATCTCCATTGAATGGGGAAAAGAAAAGGCCTGTGGGAGATTTTGAGGTGTCACCACTCATCTTTCAAGAAAAGTAATCTCCAAGAGCAAGCTATGGTCACATTGTTGTTCGAAGCACATGACAAGTTAGGAAACAGCAGTGGAGGCTGTTCAGGGAACTGGGGAACAGGTCTAGACAGGAAAGAGGAAGTGTAGCAGAATAGAGAGAAGAATGGAGGCTAGGCAGGGAGGCAGGAACGGTTGGGTTCAGGGAGCAGGGCTTGATCCCAGCTCATTGCCATGGGGCAGAATCTTAAACTGCACCATGGCTGGGCATCTTCCACTTTAAAAGAAATCTGCCATGTATTCCACGGACTGTTGACTCAGTGAGATTGTTTCTTATGCAGGAAGAGGGGGTGGGAGAATCAAATATCTTGGTTTCCTTCAGTGGTGAGTTGAGGGACTACTCTAAAGCTCAGAGCCTGTGAGTACAGCACACTTTCTATAGCATAAGGGACTTTGCAGGTTCAGTTGATATAAAGACTCAGAGACGGAGAAATGATCCTGAACTACCTGGCAGAGCCCATATAATCAGGAGGGTCCTTGTTACAGGAAGGCAGAGGGTCAGAATCTGAGAAGGGTCTGTGAGGGCAGATGCAATGCTGATGTGGGCGTGAGCCAAGGAGCGCAGGTGGCCCCTGGACCTGGAATGAGAAAGTTACAGACCCTGCCCCAGAACCTCTAGAAAGAATGCATGTGCTGTTTTGTTGTTGTTGTTGTTTTGTTTTGTTTTGTTTCCCCATAAGACCTGTCTTCAGAACTATGGGCTCCTAAATTATTGGAGAGAAAATGTATATTGTTTGCAGCCACCTAATTTTTGCTTTTTATGAGAATGGTAAGCTTTTGGGCAAGTCTTCCTTTCCCCACAAAAAGGCTAAAAGAAATTACTTGATGACCACTCCTCAGATGCTTGTATCTCTTTTTTCGTTTCCTTCCTCTTTTGTTTTTTCCCTGGGTTATTCATCTAGCAAATGTGGCCTCCCAGAGACCCCTGTTACTGCTCAGTGATGCTCACATCCCATACCAATGTACTTGTTCCACTGTTTATTTTCTGTTAATAGCTTGTCCCCAAAATTTCATACTGTACTTTTAAAAAGGAAGCATGAAAAGAGTAGATAGCTTAAAATCACTTTATCTAACTGTAAATCAGTGAAGGGTAGGAAGGCAGCGGAACACCAGTCCTAATATATTTTAGTATATGTTTCTTTGGTGATTTTATTTAGATATGCATGTAGGTATATGCATGTGAGATTCTCTTTTTAAAAAGGGTTCTCATGTTCTAATCCTATTTTGTAAATTATTTCTCAAATTTATATTTGCCCAAACAGTTATACATATTAATGGTATAACTTTATATTTTCCCCTTTTTTAATTTTTGAGGTTATGAGTTGATTACATCATTTCTCCCTTCCCTTTCCTCTCTTCAAATTCTCCCATATACACCCTCCCTGCTCTCTTTTAAATTCATGGCCTTTATTTTTAAAACTAATATATATTATAATATATATAACTAACATGTATTCCTAAATATAACTTGTTCAGTTATATAATGTTACCTGTATGTATGTTTTCAGGGCTGACTGTTTGGCAGTAGACAACCAGTCTGTGTGCTCTTTCCTGGGGAAGGCCATCTTTCTCATTCCAGGTTGCCTATACTTCTCTGCGTAAGGTTGAGACTTCATGGCCTTTGCTCCAACAAGTTTGACGAGTTTATCGGTGTTATCTTGTTCAGTTCACGTTTGGTCAGTGATTTGAATACAATGGCTCCAAAGGCTCATATATTTGCATGCTTAGTGCCCAGTTTGTGAACTGTTTCAGAAGGATTAGAAGGATTAAAAGGTGTGGCCTTGTTGGAGGAAGTGTGTCACTGGGGGTGAGCTTTGAGGTTTCAAAAGCTCATGCCAGACTCAGTGTTGCTCTCTCTGCCTGTTGCCTGTGGATCTCAGTAACTGATCCAGTGCTATACCTATCTGTTTCCCAGTGTGATGATAATGGACTAACCTTCTCAAACTGTAAGCAGACCCTCAATTAAGTGTTTCCTTTTATAAGGGTTGTCTTGGTTATGGTATCTCTTCACAGCAATAGAACAGTAACAAAGGCAGAAGATGGTACCAGAAGTGGGTTATTACTGTGACAGGCCTGGCCGTGGTGTTATTTGGATGAATACAGAAGACTGTGACTTTGGACTAGAAAATTGGTTGAATACTTTAAGTATGGCTTTAATGGGACATCCTAGCAGGAGCATGGATGCTCTCAGGGGTGCTGAGAGCAATGTGGAATGAGAGGACCCAGCTTACGAGGATTCAGCAGGGAAGAATATTATTGGCTGGCCTAGAGATCATTCTTCTTATATTTTGGCAAAGATCGTGGCTGCTTTCTGCTCTTGTCCTAAAAATCTGCCTGAGACAAAATTAAAGAGCTTTGGATTAATGACTTTAGCATGGGAGATATCAAGACAGCCTAGAATAGACTGTGTCACTTGGTTATTAATGATCATTCTTATGCAGACCTACAATGAAAAAGAGAAATCAGGGCAAAAAGAAATTTTTAAAAAAATGTACAGTTTGAAGAAAAAAAGAGTACCAGGAATAGTGAGACCCTGTCTGAAAAAAAGAGAAAAACTAAGAAAGTCCAGACATAGTGGCTAATGCCTTTAAGTTAAGCTCTCAGGAGGTAGTGGCAGTCAGATTTCTGTGAGTTTAAGGCCAACCTGCTCTACACAGTGAGCTCTAGCACAACCAGGGCTATAAACTGAGACCCTGTCTTAAAACAGCAAACAAACAACAACAACAACAAAGCAAACAACAGCAGCAAAGATCACCTGGAAGTGTTGGACTCAAGTCCAATGCTCAGGGAGATAAGAAGTTTAAAGAAAAGTCTAAGGCTAAATGAAACTAAAGGAGTGGTGACCTCAGGGCAAGACCTCACTCAGCTAAGCTTCCCACATGTGAAAAGAAAGGAAAGGAAAGGAAAGCTTAAGCAGCAAAGGAAACAACAACAACAGAAAGTTCATGCAAACAAAAGTTGGGGAGGGGCCCAGGTACCAGCCTTGGCAAGCAGAACTTGGCAGCTTCAGAAGGATACAGGAAAGAGGTTGTAGAATCTTCCTCCATGGTTAAGGAAAGCAGCTGAGGCCAGGTGTTTGGCAAGACAGTCCCACATGGCATCCTGGAGAGGCTATTGTATGAAGCTATAGATCCCAAGATGGAGGTGCCAGAGCTGGGGGTGGGGGATACTTGACAAAGCTATCTGCAGACATGGTGTGGAACCAGCCAGAGACAGAGAGATACAGAGACAGAGAAAGAAAGAGACAGAGGGACAGAGAGAGAAAGAGAGTCAGACACACACACACACAGAGACAGAGACTGAGACAGAGACAGAGACAGAGAGAGAGACAGAGAGAGAGAGTCACAGAGAGAGAGAGAAAGAGAGAGAGAGAAAGAGAGAGAGTCACACAGAGAGAGAGGGAGAGAGAGAGAGAGAGAGAGAGAAAGAGTCACAGAGAGAGAGAGAGAGAGTCACATATACACACACACACACACACACACACACAGAGAGAGAGAGAGAGAGAGAGAGAGAGAGACAGAGAGAGAGAGTCACAGAGAGAGAGAGAAAGAAAGAGAGTCACACAGAGAGAGAGGGAGAGAGAGAGAGAGAGAGA